ATTACATAATGCGTGAAACAATAATGATATGATTAGATATTGTTTTTCGACCCAAAAAAAAAAGATATTGTTTTACTTTCTTTGGGGTGGAAACAATTAGATCTTGTTTAACAAATGATGAGTTTTTTTAATAATTATTTTATAGGAGTACAAATTCAAATAGTTTGATCAAACAAAAAAAAGAAGAAGATAATTTCAAATAAAAAGGGAAAACCAAATTTATTGTACTTTTTCAAGATAACATATTTGGATGTGATACAATACTGGAAAACAAAGATGATTATTCAAAACAGAATCAAACAAAAGACGAAACAAAATCAAACAAACACTTAAAAAGACAACACACTTGAAGAAAATTATTAGAGTTTCAAAGTCTAAGAGAGAGGGGATCATCAGCTTCTTTTCCATTAGCTACTTTTGTTGCGCGGGTTGGTTTCTTAGGCCCTGCTTGGGTTTGGGCGCTACTTCCAATACCAAGACGAAGGTCCAAACTCACCAATGATGATTGTGGTTGTGCTTGTGGTTGAGCCATTGCGGGTTGGGATGGAGGCTCGGTGGGGACCCAACTCTGGCCCATTATTCCAAGGCTTGGATCAGTCTGTAACCCTGCAAAATTAGATCTGTATCTCTGTGCTCTGATACACTGTTCGAAGATGTCAGAATGATTAACCATGTCAGTAACTCTGTAAAGAGGTTGTTCAAAACCTGGTGGGACTGAGTACTGGTTAGGACTTTGTCCAAAAGGATGCTGAACCGGAGCGGACATGTTTAGATGCCTCACCATGAGGTCTCTTTGTCTTGTCATGAGATCTTTCTCCCTTGTGTGAGCATTTTGGTGACCAGCCAATGCTCGTCCTGTGGAGAACTTCTTTGGACAATACTTACATTTGTATTTTGACCTCTCGATCGACTCGATGGCATAACCATCGTGGCTCACACCACTAGTATGACTTGAACCCGAGGACAACATTTCGTTATCAATCGGATCCATCACTCTTATTGTGCTTTTTTTTTTTTAATTTTAGTGATTTGACTATGTGATTACATTTAGATGGGTATTTATAGATTGACACTTTGTATGTACCTTTAATATTAAGGTAAGTTATATGTTTAAATGTTTGAATAAGAAACAAATGTATCGTTTCGACGACTGTTGTTATAAGGTTAACTATTTAATTTCGACGACTTTCACATAAGGTTAAGTTTTTAATTACGACGACTTTCACAAAATGGTAACTTTTTAATTACTAGATATAGTCAAAAAAATTTATCATAATTCCATGTCAAGAAATATATAAAAATTATAGATTTTTTTTTTCCAGTTACATTCAAACTTAAGTTTTTACCAAACTACATGTTTGAATAAGATAGTTTGGATAGATATTGATAAAGCTTAGCAAACAAATCAATCATTTCGACGATTTTTATATAAGGTTAGTTTTTAAATTTGGACGACTTTCACATATGGTTAAATTTTCAATTACTACATTTTCAAGTAAGGTTAATTTTTTAATCACTAAATATAGTAAAAAAAAAATGGGTTTGATTTTATTTTAGAACATATAAATAGTAAAAGAATATTTGAATATTTTTCACTTAAATTCAAGATTAAGTTTTTACCTTACACATACCAATATATGTTACCAAACTACATGTTTGAATAAGATAGTTTGGATAGATATTGATGGAGCTTAGCAAACAAATCAATCATTTCGACGAGTTTTATGTAAGGTTAGTTTTAAATTTGGACGACTTTCACATATGATTAAGTTTTCAATTATGATATTTTCACGTAAGGTTATCTTTTTAATCACTAGATATAGTCAACAATTTTGGGTTTGATTTTTGTTAAAACATATAAATAGTAAAAGAATATTAATTAAAAATCAAGATTTTGCCTTG